AAAAAAATCGAAGTGAAAAATTGGGGACAAAAAAATCGAAGTGAAAAATTGGGGGCGAAAAAATCGAAATGAAAAATTGGGGACAAAAAAAATAGAAGTGAAAAATTGGGGACAAAAAAATCGAAGTGAAAAATTGGGGACAAAAAAATAGAAGTGAAAAATTGGGGACAAAAAAATCGAAGTGAAAAATTGGGGGCGAAAAAATCGAAATGAAAAATTGAGGACAAAAAAAATAGAAGTAAAAAATTGGGGACAAAAAAATCGAATGAAAAATTGGGGGCAAAAAATCGAAGGGAAAAATTGGGGGCAAAAAAATCGAAGTGAAAAATTGAGAATAAAATTACGGTATCTTAAAATGTTGATTACATCATGACAAAATTTCAAAATTTCAAAACTTCGAAATTTCAAAATTTCTAGATTAGAAAATTTCCTGATTTCAAGATTTCAAGGTTTTTCAACAAGTCTAATGCACAATTTTCTGTTCCTTTGTAGCATATAATGAAATTTGGTGGAAAGGTTTTTGGTTAACAATTTTTTTCTGCTTTTTCATTTTACTCAGAAGTCATTTTTCCCTGTGATCGAACATTTATTTTTCTGATGAGCTCCACAATTGAGGATGATCCTTCTACAAAGGGAATCAGTTTAATTGCATTTTTATTCGCCTTTATTGTGTTTGTGGTTCTTTGTGTAATTTTCATTTTAGTATTCCCAGTTTTTGTAATCGTTCATATTCGGAATAAATAACGAGATAAATTGGTGAGTTTGAATTGTTGGAATTGAAGACTTAGAATTTAAAAATTTTCCAGACTGCAGTCTATCCAATTTCCAACCATTTTTTCAAGTCAATTTCTTGGTTTTATTTTTGGTTTTCTATTGTGATATGCTGTTTTTTCACAGAAAGACAAAATAGAACATTTCAAAGATAATGGATCGTGGGTTTTTTAATTAGCTTAATGATGAATTTTTTAAATTTTAGATTTCCCTTGCTATTAATTTTTTCGTTTTTGTTAGCAGCACTTATTATTTTTTTCCATATTTATCATTTTATCCTTTCGATTTTG